TTCTCTGTGTTAAAATAGAGGCAATTTCTTGAGAGTAAATGACAGCTGTAGAGTGCCTTAAATGAGATAATCGACCTAAGGTCACTTTGCAAACCCCAAATGCTTTACAAGGTAGAATTTTCTTGTAGTTGTGTGTTTAAAAATTAAGCATTTAATAATATGGTTGAACTTTAGAAAATCACATGAAAAAAGGAAGTAGCAAAAATGTCACCAAACATCTGAATGGTGACAAGCATGAATTCAAATAAGCTGAATGAAAATCAAACTCCTAGAAAACATTGGTAGCAATCCAGAAGCTGAGGCCTTGGTGTATTTTAAATGATCAAATAAAATGAATTAGATATAAAAGAAAAAACAAAAAAAAAAAACAAAAAAAGCCACGTACTTACCATGCCTTCACCATGACTTGGTAAGGCATTTTGAAAAAGAATCCAATAAAAACTGCTGAGGATCTTGGTAACATTGAGTTACCGCATCCCAGGGGCAGAGATGATAAATTTTTGTTTCTATTCTACTTTTTAAGTGCTTCTTTTACCCCCACTTACAGAACACTGGTGCTATAAAGAGGTATTCAATCTTCCTCATAAAAAGGATTGTAAATTAACATCAAACCATATCAGCAAAAATCACCACCCATTATATCAGCAACAAGTCAAATTTCAGTTATCACTGTGTTGGCAATGAAGTGAGGACATAGGCACCTCCATATACTGCTGGTGATATCTATCAAAAGTAAAAGTTCAGGGGCACCTGGCCAGCTCAGACAAAAGAGAACATGACTCTTGATCTAGAGGTCATTTGTTCAAACCCCATGTTGGGTATAAAGATTAAATAAATAAATACTTAAAATATTTCATCACAGGATAATTATAAATTTTTTAAAAAGTCAAGTTCATTGACTAAGCAATCCCATTGCTAGGAATTTATCAGATTTTACATGTATGAGATGATGAAATGGCATACATACAAAGCTCTTCATTGCAGTATTATTTGTTACGGAAAAATATTAGAGAAAAATTTGAATGTTTCTCTCTGTGAGGTTGGTAAAAATAATCATGAAATATTAATACAATGAAAACTATGTACCTCTATAAAATAATGAAGAAGGTCTTCATGTATTTCTATGGCAAGATTGCGGTGTATGAAAAAAAGGGAGCGTGATAAATATATGTTTATATTTATAGCTGCATATGTGCTAAAATCTCTGTAAATACACACAAGAAACAAATAATACTGCTTACACTGGAAGGTGTTTGTGAACTGGACAATGGCATAAGGGAAACTTTTTACTTTGACATTTTGTAGGTTTTAAAACATCTAAATATATGATTATTTCAAAGATTATATTTGTTAATTAATTTTGAAAGATGTTATTTGTTTGGAAATCTGTCTTCCCCTCCAGATCATGGACTATGCCTTGTTCATTTCCACAGCCTCCCGACCTCGCTGAGTGCACAGTACATAGCACTCGCTCGACAAATGCTTACTCAATAGACACTGAATGGTAAAATGACTTAGATTAAACTCCCTTGAGGGAAGGGAAAACATCCTGCCTTAGTTTCCTAACAGAGTTCTTTATGTGATCAGAGTGAGTGATGTTTCCTGGAAAGGACACAGAAAAACAACAGAAAAGTGATTGAGAAAGAAACAGACTTCAATGCAAAAACCTTAGTTTAAGATGTCATTCATTTGCCAGTTCTTTCCAGGGCTTGCCTGCCAAGGCTGGGAAGGGTGGAGTGAGGAAGAAGACTTGAAGACATACTTTGGAGAGAGACAGAGAGACACAGAAACTCAACAAAATTTCAAGTAGAGCAGCTCCTTCTACCTCTTAAGAATCAAGGTGATTGGGGTTTCTAAGTTTCCAGTGAACCATCTTGTTTGTGAACTCCTGTTTAAATGGTTGTGGATTTGAAATTTTTGCTTCTCTTTTCTTATGTTTCTTTCCTATTGTTTACTGAGTGCTCTTTCCTTCTCCCAGGTTCAAAGTATTCAGCCTGCACATGTCCAGTCTAAGGATGAGTGATTAACACACAGATTAGATCCTATGGCTTAGGGCAGGGGTTCCCAATCTTGGTCATATATCAGAATTCCCAGGCAACTTTATCTCCCAGAGCATCTGATTGATTTGGTTTACAGAATGGCCTAGGCATCAGAATTTTAGAAACCTCCCCCTTGTGATTTCTAATATGCAATAAAGTTTAAGAGCTACCAACTGATAGCATTCTCCAGGCTTTCTATAAACTATTTCCAAAATCAAATGAATATGGAATTTATTATTTATTTTGAATAATTAACCTTTATAATGGAGACTGTGAAAATAATGGCATATCCATTTTCCTTCTTCTTGAGGGTAACTAAGGATTCACTATTTTTATCTCCTTAATATAGGATCTACATTTTGTAACAAGTCACTACTTGCTTCATATTAATGATTACAGGTAGTGACAACACCAGAGGATAACCCTGTGGGTTTTTAGATTACTACTGCTCTCATCACAAGTTTCCCTGATGCTGTTAAGAAAGTCTGTTGGGTATGCTCTCAGATTATTCACCTGTGTTTGCTCAAACAACAGTAGCATAGTTATAGTGGCAATAAAATTGGACACAATTTAGATGCCCAAGTCAGAAGAATGGATAAAGTAATTTACTTATATTACACACTTATATGTGCATGTGTGCAATAAAAAATAATTAACTGTGACTATATGTAACAATATGCAATCTTAGTGATGTAATACAGTATTGAGTGCAAAAAGCAATTCTCAGAAGACTAAGTACAGCTCGGTGCCCTTCACATAATTTTCCAAATGAAATAAAGCTAAGTAATGCATTGTTAGACAAAGATGTATCATAAAACCATGAGGAAGAAAGCTGCTGGTAAAGAGAATAATAAGCACAAAATTCAAGATGGCGACCACCCCTAGGGAGGAGGGAGAGAATGAGATGAGGGGAAGCACACAGGCAGTTGAAAGTCATTGCTAACGTTCCAGGTCTTAGTCTGGATTTGCGAATTTGTGGTTGTTCCTCATGCTTTTTGGTTTTGTCTGTGTTTGTGTTTTGCTCCTCATGTTTTTAATAAGGGCATTCAAAACTAAATACATGAGGAAGAAAACTAAGAATGAAACTTCTTTATAATAGTATCATTTAGGATTTGTTTTATAAAAGTATGGCGTGTATTTTTGTGTGCTTTTACTTTGTGTGAATATTTGCTTTTAAATAAAAATTTATATTAGTGGTAGAGTTAATGTACTAATAAACTTGTTGCCAACTTATTATTAACTTAAAATAAAATATTTTCAACTTCACAATCTAAAAACTCACTTTGATAATGAGTAAGTGACATGAAAAACAATTTCCCTTAATAGCTTTGAATTCTGGCCTTCTCTGGAAGTCTAAGTAAAACCAAGTTACATCTTCATGGGCAACTCTATAAATGAAATGATCCCTTCTCCCCATCCTGATTTCCTTGTGGTCTTATTCCTTCACCTGCTTATCGAATAGAAATAGAATAAAACTAATAACCATTTACCCTTGTACAGAGCTTAAGTTTGTATGATCTCACATGTTTATCATAACAACCCTGTGAGGTATGCTGGGCAAAGACCAGTTTAAAACAAGACTATAGATGGTTTTTATAATAGAAAATATTGGCTTGAATGTACGGCTCATACACCAGCGATTGAACACAAGACACATTTCAAAGTATGTGTACATTGCTAAATATTGATATTCTCATGTAAAACTTTAATGTTTGAATATTGCTTTACATTTTTATTGATCTGAATCTTCTATTTATGGCAAAAAATGGGATTTTTACTTATATTAGTGGTGTAAAGTTGCTTTTAAAATAAATATAGTTTAATAAAAATGAATGTATTTAAAGAGAACTCTTAAGCAGATAAACTCTATGCTGAGTTTGTGCTGGTGTATGTGTGAAGTGAGTGAGTTGGGTGTATTGTGCACTAAAATTTTCTGATAGAGGAAGCCTGATTAAAGAATGGTCCATGCTAAGGACTTATTAGATCTAGTGCGTTCTCCATTTAATAATTATATGCTATTTCTATATTTTCATTATCCTATCACCTGTCTTGCCTTTTTCATTATTTTATTATTAAGCTTGTGTAAAAATAATTTTGTTTCTGTACTTTTTTGGCATAACATAAATCTGTGAACTTGAAATTTTAATTTTGTGTTAGAAAATTTATTTGTTCTTTGTTTAGTCTTGTCTCAGATTTTATTATGTAAATCCTATTATTCAAAGTTGCCTAAATCCATTTGTAAATCTTTAAAAAAAATGGGGATTCTTAAAGTGAATTTATTGGCTTTTCTGATCCAGTTTTGTTTGGACCAAAAACCAGTATTGTACAAAGTATTAAGTATATATTTTTATATTTACTGAAATGGACTGTGGTAACTTTGGATAATAAGGAAAAGTTGAATATTAAAGCCATGTTTATTACAGTACAATTAACATGTTAAACCATGGGATAAATGTCATCAATAAAAAATTATGAAATAAAAGTAATGCACAGGCATTACTTAGAGCTGACAAGTTATAAAGATGATATATAAATAATTGAAGTGTAAAAAATCTCATCCTGCCATGTAATAATATTTGTTAATATTTACATGAAATATGTTCCTAAGTCACCTACAACTAAATTAACTTGACAACTTACTTGTCGAGGGAATAATGATCATTTTCCCATGTCCTATCTTGAAGAGCTAAGTATAAGAGAAATAATCTTGAAAATATTAATTAATTACAAATAAATAAAATAAAAATCTTGTTAAAAACTGAAAAGTTGGGATGCTTTGGTGGCTCAGTGGTTGAGTGTCTGCCTTTGGCTCTGGTCATGATCCTGAAGTCCTGGGATTGAGTCCCACATTGGGATCCCTGCAGGAAGCCTGCTTCTCCCTCTGTCTATGTTTCTGCCTCTCTCTATGTCTCTCTCATGAATAAATAAATAAATAAATAAAATCTTTTTTTTTTTTTTTAGGGAAAAGTCCACACCCTCCTAGAATTTACAGTCAAAGGAAAGGTGAGCAGGTAATTTGGTGCCAACAGAGGTACAACCCTACAAGAGGAGAGAGCCCATTGTTTGAATACCTCCCTGAAGGAGCTGACATCTAAACTGAAGAGTGTATAAGAAGGCAAGAGAAAAAGGATGTTCAGGGAGGATGAGATAGCATGTACAATACCTGGAGAAGAGAGAGCATAAGACACTCAGTGGGCTCCAAGTAGATTGGGAGAATGGGATTCAACCCAAGAATTAGGAATGCCAAGAAATAAAGCTGAAGAAAAAAAGCAAGTAAAGGACCATGAAGGGAATTATGTATGCAGATCAGAGTCATGCTGGCAAGCAACAAAAATAGACCCAGAATCACATAAAAAGAAAAAAATTTTTTTGAAAACCATTGGACAGAAGCAATATGTTGTTTCCTACCAGCAGCACACACTGGTGGGTTTCCCAGAATAAAATGGGATCAGATGTAGATACAAAAGAAAGAAGATGAAAAAAGTGAGAATAAAACAAAAACAAATTCTGGAGAACTTGGATTTCATTGTGTAGACAACCAGGAATCATAAAAGGGACTGACGCTCCAAGTTGTACGATTCTTGCAGCAGTGGGAATGAGCTGACGTAAGGGAGAGGAGATTGAGAGCTGTTACAGTATAGAAAACCCAGAGAGGATGGGGCCCTAAGTAAGGGCAGTGGTAGTGGGTGAAGAGGAGAACGGGAAAGAACAGATTTGGGAATCTGGATGGATCACAGTGGCATCAGAGAACCGGCGCTCCCCCATGCTCTGCTGCTGTGGACATGGATTTCTGGATAGTTTGAAAAGTCGTAGCTTCAGTGGCTTGTCTTTTGTGAAGGGGAAGAAAAATCACAGATGGAGATGGCTTTGGAGAGTCAAGAGTGAGCTGCTGCCTCCTCCTGCATATCCCTGTGTGGTCCCAGAGTCCACAAAACACAACTGCCCACTACTCCCACTTCCACCAGGGCGGAAGCCATCTATTTTATTTCTGAACATCTCTGTTTGGCCATAATGTCTAACCTTGACTGTCCCCCATAATGGGATGTAAATGTATTAACACCCTTTCATCGCTTGCCTGCAACTATATAACTTGGCTGCCTTCCAAGTCTTTAATTCCTTTATTGATGCAATTCATGATGGTTGTTGCTTCTGTTTAAAAGCTTCTTGCAATCTCTAAGTTTTTGGAGTACTATCTGTTTCTCCCATCCATGCTTTCATTAAAATTGATTTTCTCAGCTTTCACGCATTTCTATATGAGACAAAGAATTTTAGATAAATGCCACAACCTAAGCACCAGAGGTAAAGACGGAGAACAATCAAGACCTGAGTAATGTTATTTTAATTGCAATTTAAAGCCAAAAGGCAAAGACTTAGTAAAGAGCTGTTTTCATTACAGTTGTTCCATGCATGAAATGAACCATTACACATTGGAAAAGAAAAAATCATTCCAGAGTGGCTTAGTTATAACAAACAAAATGAGTTCCAACAAGCTGTTTTTAGTCCCCTGGCCAAAAAATGCATTCTGTTGGTATTTAGGATTTTTTTTCTAATGTGGCATTATATTTTGAAATGTTATTTCATGTCATACTTTCTTTGTATAACATATTTGCATTGAATAATGAGAGAAGTGACCAGCTGGTCACTAGCAGTTACAAAGCCCTTTATTGGAGGCAGCAGATGATGGCAGATGGCAGTGTCAGGCTTAAGTCTCAGTAAGAATACATTTGCCGTACCTTGTCGATGTGACATAGCCAACCTTTCTCTGAATCTATGTGAACGATGGCAGGGTTGTTTATTGAGATACTAATTTACATTTTTTTCCACTGTATTTTTCCTTCCCTCATTAAAATGGGGAAGGCCTTTGGGTTTACCATAGATGAGTTTATTCAAAGACAACCTCTCTTATTCACTTGTTCTTGAAAACCTGAATTATGGAAATGAATGAGAGGATAAAGAGGAAAGAAAGTCTTTAGGATTGGAAAACTGGAAGAGAGTTTCCATACATTTGTTAGGGAAGATTCTGCAAGCTTGGGATTAGGATGTCAGTACTTGATGGAGTAGCAGAATCAACCCTGACTCCTCTACAAGCCACATGGTGCACCTTGGAGTCTGTGCACCAGGCACCAACACTATCACTTCTGTGCCCAAGTTTGGCACAGATATAACAGAGCTACTCAAATTTAAAGGAAGCATAGAGATGCACAGTCCTCTCTCTCTTTTTTTTAATATTTTTGAGAGGGGGTAGTCTTTTTTTTAAGATTTATTTATTTATTTTTGATAGAGAGAGAGAGGCAGAGACACAGGAGGAGAGAGAAGCAGGCCCCATGCCAGGAGCCCAAGGTGGGACTCGATCCTGGGACTCCAGGATTGCACCCTGGCCCAAAGGCCAGCGCTAAAATGCTGAGCCACCCAGGGATCCCCCAGTCCTCTCTTTTTAATGATTATGAAAACTTGAGTAACACACTTATTTGTAATCATCATATGGAAGACAAGAAACTCCTTCCACTTTTCAGAAACTATCTTAACCCCTATTCTCTTGTATGACCTTGGAAGTATAGGCCAGGACACCTTCCCCACCAGGTCCCGTCCTATACCCTTATGATTGGTAATGAATTTCTCACCATCTTGATAATTAGAGATTTGGGATCTGGTTAAAATGATAGATATTTCTTGCACTGGAGTATAGTAGATTAAAATTCAAACCCTTCACAGATAATTATGTGAGAAGACAATTATTTAAGGTAGAATATTATAAAATAAAGAGTTTTGAGGATATGATTCTATTTCACTCCACACGGTAATTATTATAATAATTATGAGAAATAAGAATAGTGGATAAGCACAGATGAGAGAGCTAGTGGGAGATGAGACTGTTTCCTGAGAAGGAGATTCATGTACTTAAGCAGCAGCAATCCACCACTGTTTTATAATCAATGTTCCCAGGAAACTCTTCATTGCTGTCCTGAGTCCTTCATGGTGATGGAGATAAATTCCAGCTCTTCACAGTCCAGTGTGTCACAATCCTTCACAAACCAACATGGCCACTCACCTTTCTCTTCACCTGGCTAAACGATCCCAGTTCCATTATCTTTGTCTCCCAATGTCAAGTTTCAAGTGTTTTGCTCTTTGCATTCTTTAAAATCACTTCTGCTTTCATGTCCCATCAGCCATCTGTGCCTGAGATCATTAAAGGCTTGTGGCATAATGACAAGAACCAGGAAACAGTCCTGAAGCTGTATCTACGCAGGATCTTCAGAGGCAGCTGGAGCTCATTCGTCTTCAGGCCTGCCACTCCCCAGCTGTGTGATATGGGCCAGTCCTTTGAACTTCCTATGCCTCAGTGTCCACCCTGTTATTAATCATGTTTTTAAATTTTTCTGTATTTAATGATGTTTTGACATTTTGGAGGCCTTACAGACCTGAGGAGGGACTCGCTTTCCCAGGGCTACTTAATTCCTAAAGATAATAAACCACTGCTCTGGAGCATGCCTTCCATAAGCAAACCAACCAATACTGAGTCTATATCCCCAACCTCCCTCTTTACCCAAACATACACCAAGTCAATATTTCCCCTGCCCTAAATCACCCCAGGGCCAGGTACCGGACAACTAGAGAGAGCTCACCCCTATAAACCAAAGCCTACTGAAATTACTCAAATTACCAATTCTGTCCAGCCTTGCCTTGCCCATGGAAACCCCAGTAAAGGGTCTGTCCCAGGTTTTCCTTTCTTCCTGCTTCTGCTTCCTGACCAACTATGATGCTTCTCCCACCGCCCTGTGTGGCATGGCATGCCTCCTTCCCTTGGGAAATGTAAGTAATAACCTCTTCTTTCAATGGCATTGACCTCTCTGTGTTATTGCTCAGTCACCTACATAAATCAAAATTCCATGGGTACAAACGAGACAATATTGAAGAATCATGATAATGGTAACAGTAGATTGCCTTAAGAATTAAAAGACCCAACAATGTGCACATGTATATAAAGTCCTACGAACATCACTCCATGCACAATAAGTGCTTAATAGATGCTGTCTATAGTTTTCAGTAAACTTTAACAAACAACTGTTGAGAACTAAATCTCTTTAACTCACTTCCTTAGTTTCTTCATCTGTTCAGGGGGTATGATGACAGTATGTCAACAGCAAAGGAATGTCGTGATGATTAATTTTGACCTCTAAAAAAAATCCAATGATGTGACTATATTCATATATAGTATTGCTTCAGAAAATTCCAATAATAATGATTGCGTTATAATCTTAAAAACAAAATATGTTGCCTTAGGGCAATCTTATTGATCCAGTAATATCAGAAAATAACTTCTAAATGACTGGATGATTAAGGCCAATTTAAAGATATAATTTTTATCTTCAGTAATGTTGTTCCAACTAGACAGCCGCCCCCATGGAACTCCCAGCTGCTGCTAATTCCCCAATCTTCCCTCACTGAGAAGGAAAGAAGCACGGGGCAAATACGCCCACAGTGGGAATGACAGTCACATCCCCTGCTTTTTTTGAGAAGGCTCAGTCACATTTCTGAATTATATCCAAATCAGTACCATACTTTCTGCATGTTTTCTCATGTTCAATATGAACCACAAATGCTAGCCTGGGGCACATTCACAGGTAACTCTTGACTGTGTTGCCAGTCTAACCTGGGGCCCTGAAGCCCACACGGCTTCTGAAATGATCCTAAAGCCTTGAATTTAAAATGATATAAGGCACATGCACAACAGGGAACTGTAAAAGGATTTGTGGATAAAGAAAAGGCTTTTCTCCTAAGATAGTAACAGTGACCCAAAACTTTTCACATTAACACTAGACACTCATTCCTCTGCTCCACAGAAAGACTGCACAGGTTCCTAAACACCTCAACACACATCACAACCACCTGGAGAGCTTGTCAAATGCAGACTGGGTGAACTCTGCTTCTGAGAAGATGGAGTAGACACTTTCCCCTATTCCTTCCACTCATTGCGACAAAAAACATTGGACAATGTGTGTGGGTAGGTGTGGGAGTGTGTGTGTCTGTGTATGTGTGTGTTTGTTTATACATATATCAGACATAAGAAGGCTCTGCAAGGTGGAGGGAAGAAGGTAGACTGACTAGGACCTTGAGACCCAAGGAAGGATGCAATGAGTTCCATAAGTTTTCTTTTTTGCATCATATATCTCAGACTTGGAGTGAAAGAAACAAGCAATCAGAAAATGGCTGATCAGGTCTCAGACCAATGAGAAAAAAACAAACAAAACACAAAACAAACCAAAACACCTTAACAGAAGGACTCAGAAAGGGGCATCCAGCAAGACAGAAACTTTTAGAAAATAAAAGCTCTACTCTAAAACACTGAACACTGTGGCCATATCTTCACCTGGCTGAGCAAAGGCTGAGTGGGGAGCCTAGACTTCCATCCTGGTGAGGCCCCAAGTCCCTTGCTGGGGTGGCATTAAAGAAGGCTAAGCAGAGAGCTGGAAATGTGGGGACCCTGGACTTCTGTTACCACCTAACAATAGTGAGGCACCCTTCTCTCTCCTCACTGAGGTGGTATCAGAGGAGGCCTAATGGGGAGTCAGAACCTTTATCTATAACTTGGTGGTAATGAGGCCATCCTCACTACGTTATCAGTGGATACCATGTGAGCTCAAACTCCCATCTCCACCTGCAACTAGGAGCCATCATTCCCCTGTCAGTGGAGACCAAGAGGAAACCTGGACTTTTACTTTCATCTGGCACTAACAAAGTAATACATTTTCCCACATTCCCCTGCCAGAGCAGTGCCAAAGAAAGTCAAAAGTTTTATATAAGATCCAGAGCTCCTAACATAATAAAAAAAAAGTCCAAATTTCAATTGAAAATTACTCATAACACCTATAATCAGGAAAATCTTCAACTAAATGAAAAGAAAGATAATCAATGGATGCCAACCTCAAGATGATGGGCAAGTTGAAATTATTGGACAAAGATTTTAAAGCAGGTATCACAAAAATGCATCAATGAGTAATAAAGAATACTCTTGAGATAATAACAAATGATAAAATCAAAAGCCTCAGTAAAGAAATAGAAAGACTATGGGCAGCCCCGGTGGCCTGGCTGTTTAGTGCCACCTTTAGCCCAGGGCCTGATCCTGGAGACCCAGGATAGAGTCCCATGTTGAGCTCCTTG